CGCGCTCCCCCCCCCCCCCCCCGCCCCCGCCTATCCCAGGCTTCGATGTGCCCCCTGCGCGCAGAGGACCAGCACGGTTGCTCTTTGAACAGAGATCGGAGGGATCTCATCACAATCTCCCCTCAGATCTCTTAATGTGGAAGTGATGTCTATTACATCACTTCCATCTTCAGCTGTCATTTCCCTGGCTTCTTTAGCCAGAGAGAAGCTGGTAAAGAAGATCTCTGCTTCATCAGCTTCCTTGGGGGTCTCTAGGTGACATTAGGGGTTTAAAAGACCTCTGGTGTGTCCATAAAGATCTCTAGGTGACATTAGGGGTTTAAAAGACCTCTGGTGTGTCCACTGTATAATTGCTATCACATAGGAGTTTCTTAGCCCCCCATAAAAATGTTTTAATGTCTCCCACCCCATGTACACACACATCCGAATGCAAACATGCGTCGAGTGCGCCTACGTGTGAAAACGATGATTGCACCCATCGCGCTGCATGTTACATACCACTGTGAATGTCTGAGTGTGAGCAATAATTCTAGGGCCATCAATCACTGTAACACTAAACGGATGAGTGGTAAATGCATTGCCTATGGCCAATTTTGGGTATGATTGTTTTTTGCATTTTCGCGGATGCACGAAACTTTAAGGCTTGACATGTTTGCTGCCTATTTACCCAATGTGACCCCATCTTTTATATTTTACCAAAAAAAAAATCAGATAATGATAAATATTTCATAACATAATGTAGGGAAAACAGGTTTTTGTTTTCAAAACTTCACTACTTTTTCTTCATATAGTCAAAAATAAGCCCACTGGTGATTAAATACCATCAAAAGAAAGCTCTATGTGTCCCTAAAAAATGGTATAAATTTCATTTCAATACAGCATGCATGACTGAATAAATGTCAGTCAAAATACTGCACGGAATATTGAAAAATGGTCTGGACAGGAAGGGGGTTTAGCACCCCGGTCTTCAAGTGGTTAAAGTGCACCTCTGCTCAAACTACTGATATATTTTTTATAAACTGCGAACATATTGTGAGTAAGCAAAACTTTAAAACACGCTATCACTGACCTTTTTAGCTGCGTGTACATTGAAGTGATTTATACATGGAGATTGAAACAGACACTGTAAAGTTGAGTTTTTTTGTCTTTTTCTGACTACTTACATAAACCTGCTATTTGTTTATATTAAAAGGCTGGTGGGCTGACAAGTTATTGCTCTCCATAGAAAGTAGGGACAGAAGCTGAGATTTCAGTGCATCTGCTGGAAAGTTTGAAGATTAATTTCTACAGAATGCCATAGCTACAGAAAAAGTGTTTAACATGTAATATAGAATGTGTAAATATTTTACTGGGCACATGTTCTCTTTAATTATGGTCTTAATTTTTTAACAAAAATTCACAACTTTAGATTTGCACTTAACCACTTGAAGACCGGGGTGTTAAACCCCCTTTCTGTCCAGGGCATTTTTCAGTATTCAGCACTATTTTTTACTATATTAGGTAAAAATTACCAAATATTTGGGGGAAAAAAAAGCCGCAAACAATACCCAAAATTGCCCATTGGTAATGATTTAAAAGATTTTACAGCTCATCAGTTTAGTGTTATCAGTGATTGCTGGCCCTAGAATTATTGCTCACAGTCTGGCATTCACAATTATATGTAATGTGTGGCGCAATCGTCGATTTTGCGTGTAGGTGCACCTGACGCATATTGCCATTTGTAAGTGGGTATACGTGGGGGCGGGGGACTTAAAAAAGTTTGTGTTTTTGCTTACATTTTTTATATGTCACTTATATTGTTTACTTTTTTTATTTACACCTAATGTTATTGCTATCACATAGGGGGGCTAACAAGCACAGGAACAATGACAGGCCCTGTATAAGACCCCTGATGTCACCTGGGGACCCTGAAGGAAGCTGATGAAGCATGGATTTGCTTCATCAGCTTCTTTTCTGGCTATAGCAGCCAGAGAAATTACAGCTTAATGCGGACGTGATGTAATACACACCACTTCCACATTCAGAGATCGGAGGAGAGCTCAGCAAGTGGGAGAGTGCTGATCTCCCTCCAATCCTAACGCAGTGAGCCGAGCCAGTCCCGGGCCCACAGAGGGGACAACAGAGCCCAGGATAGCCGGTAATGGTGGTGGGGACGCACACAGCTGGGCACCATACAAGCGATCAGACGGCTATAGAGCCTGTCAACGTGTTCTGCTTGTGCGCACGCCAGAGGGCGTGCGCAAGCAAAAGAAGAAGCCTTATATTTACGATCCCTGCTGGAGGGAGCTTGCCGTCCA